GTATTATTTTTTGTTGATTTTAGGAAGAGTATCGTAAAAGTGATGATGATCTTTTTCAATAACTGATTTGAGGTCTTGCAGAAGTTTGAACTTGTCTTCTGATATTTCAGGAGGTGTCTTGAAGAGCGAGTTTTCATAAACCGACAGGTCTTGGCTTTCTCTTCTGTGTGGTAGTAGCTTCCAGTTATCTGAGTAATCAGTGGTGTAGTATAGCTCTCCATTTTGACTATATTTTAATTGTCTTATATCTACAACTTGCGGATCTTTGGCATTTTTTTCTAGGTCTTATTGAACGGAAGTTACTGTTAATAGCGTACTTTTTAAAGAAACGTAAAATCTACGTTTTTAATATTATACAGATGTTTTGGCCCAGCAAGACGCATTCTAGCAATTTAATCCATCGGTGAATTAATTGGAGTCTGAAAGTAATGTTCCAAAGTTAAATGAACTGAATCTGCTTCCATCATAGTATGGCCTTTTTCAAGATATAACTGCTGTATTGTAAGGGATTTTGCTCTTGCTGAATCACTTAAAGCACTAGCCAAAGTTTTTTCGATTTTTTTAGTTGCATCCATCTGAGATAAATACAAGAGTTTAATAGATAGCAGGAATATTATTTATATAATCTATAAGACAAGATGTAAATTCATTGCTACTGACTCCACCATTTGCTTCATGCCAAACGTACAACTGGACATCTTCATCATTTAGAGAATAAATGGTGAAGTTGTGTACTTGGAGTTTGAGCTTATAATATGATTGGGAAGCTAATACTTTTGGACACGTTAAGAAACTTTGAAGATCAACTGTAAGAACCAATTTTTCAGAATTTGCGCTACTTTTTAATAACTCTTGCCCGTCTTCCTTCTTTCTGCTTTGACATGTGCTGATCATATTTTTCAGTACTTATTGTCTTCATTTTATGTGCAATATCACATTGATCTTTCCTTTGCTTGTGTATGCCAATTTTCTTTGCTTCTAAAACAACTTTAAACAACTTGATATGAGCAACTGACTGCTTTCCTATCATCGCACCATTCTTTATATAGTCTGTACGTAATTTATATACTGTATGTAATTTGTTGTTATGATACTGTTGTCAACATATATTCTGCTAGTAGATGCTCTACAATAGTGTGAAGGAACTTAAGGAATATTTTGCAACCATTCCATAACAATCTTTTCTTTGCAAATTTGTCTCATTTTTCTTGGAGTAATTTTGTTGAATGTTGGAATCTTGTAGACTTTCACTAAAAGTATCAATTTCATGAGTGGCTGGCTCCCTTGAGACCCATTGTTTCATTGTGTCTTCTCCTAAATTTATTGTATTCAAAAACATAACTCGGCATACCTTGAGGTAACTTCCGTCTTTAGAAACAAAAAAAGTCACGAGCACTCTTCTTTTTGGACCGTTTTTCTGAATTTTGAGTATCTTTTCGGCGCCTTTGCACTGCTCTTGCCCGAACAAGATTTTTAACATAAGTGGTTCGATGTTCCCACGACGTTAATGTCTAAATTTTTTAAAAATTCGTAGTCTATCATCCTGCGTAATTAAAGAACATCTAAATGAGTGTTATTTTGGCATTATAACAACAACAACATTTTGGCGTTATAATACGGTTACATCGCTCCTTTACTGACATGCCATTCCGTCTGGTAATATGTTGTACATCGCCAAAACACAAATTTTGCTTTTTTTTCTGTTCCAATATAGTAGCTGCAGGCAAACTGAAATAAGAAAAATAATTATTACCTACTTAATTTAAGCAATAATGAGATGAAAGATATCTAACCGTAGTAGTGAATTGGTTTACATACCTGTTTTTGGATTTTTCACTCTAAATTTAATTTTCAATAGGAGCAAAAGTTTAAATAGAATTTTGCTGATCTTTCTTAAGTGAATTTTGTACAACTATTTTAGTTCTTGTCGTGAAAACACTCATTTTGCACTGGTAAATAGCTTATTTGAGAAAATTTGAGGATAGGAATTTGACAGATGAAAGTATGAAATAACTCCAATGTGCAGATATTATAATAGATAATAGCTCCAATGTATTTTTAAGCACATTGGATTTATTTTAGTCCAACAATTAATAATATGTTACAATGGAGTAATGCATTTTTAGACATTAGGGAAGTTAGGAATCGGTACGCACATTGGATATTTTTCTAGACTGTAAAACTATTCATAGCGATTCAGAATCGTTTAAAATCTGAATTACCAGAAATTTGCACATTGGAGTTATTTCATTCCTAACGACGTTTTGTTATGACTGCTAAATGTTTTATTGGAGACAGGCTGCTATCTTCTTCTTTGTCCGTATTCAGACGTGGGCTCTCATCATGTTTACAATGTCCTTTCTCTATCGCTTCTATAAGTTTCTATACTGGCGTTGTATTACTTTTTCTCTATTGTAAAAGACTGAGGGGAACGTCACGGAAGAAGCGTTACGAGACGACGACACGAGTAGCTTCACGAAAAACGGTCTTCACATCAATTTACTACTCTCTATCAATTCGTTTCAAGTCATCACATATTTGTTAACGTTAGTTGTTAATAAATTCTTTCAAACAATAATTAAATTTTATTTTTAAACATCGTATTTATTTTATATATTAATTAAATTTATTATCAATTCAATAATCAAATATCAAATTTATATTTTATTAATAACTTAATATTAAGTCTCACTTTGACAGTTGTATTTTGTTGATACGTTAGCAGGTGGCGTTACTAGCAAATATAATTTATTGAATTATTTTAATATAATATAATTTGTTTAAAATATAAATAACAAATAAATAAATATTAAAATCGCTTTAATAAATGTTATAAAAATATTATTTAAAAAATATAGAAAACGTAGTACGAAGATTACCGCTAGTCTACAATGCCAGCTACTGTACCTACCACCTTTTGTTGAAGTTAGTTTTGATGCCATTAGATAACCCCAGTGCATTAAAGGGAAATTTTCTTACAGTAGGCTTATGTAACAAATGCTTTTGATATCTAAAAATAAGTCTTGTTTCGATTAATCAATGATTTTTGTAATATCTAGTTTATTTTGGTTTATTAAAGAAAAGAAGAAAATGCCTAGGCATAATAATTTTTCTAATATGGATATGAGAAGGAATATTTAAAAAGATACCCAAACAGGCTACAACCTAATCACTAAACTTTTAAACATATATTTCGAAATTTAGGCAAAAGTGGTTGATTTCGTCCTAAACGTGACAACTCAGGCCAACCGAAAATTATTAGGCTTGATCAGGAAGATGATCAAGTAGGTATAACACGACGTTTATTTGTAGCGTTATGAATCAGCAAAACTTCAGCTTTAAAAATGCCACACCGTAAGCATTAAGATGCAAATCTTGACCACTCCTTCGTCGATAGAATATTTTTTACGAATGAAACTCCATTTACTCACCATGGTCTTTTTAATTGAACGAAAAATCATTTCTGAGATAGTGAATATCCCCATCTTAAGAGTGAAACGCATTTTCAACATGAATTTTAAATAAACGTATGGTTTGAAACCATTGGTAATCATTTTTTACGGACATGCGAATTACCTTGTAAAATGGTGGGATTTATTTACATTTTTTTACAAAATGATTTTGTTGATTTATTGGAAAAATTGTCATCCAACTTAAGGCAAAATATGTGGTTCATGCCGAATGGGGCAATACCACATTATACAGAAAGATCAGTGAGAACATACTTAAATACAACTTTCCTGAACGTTGAACTGGTCGTCGTAGTCATATTCCTTGGTCATGTGGTGAGATATTGATATAATTATTTATTATATAAAAAATCCCAAAAGAATACTTATTATTATACTTATAATACTTGTAATAAATACAGCAGCAGTTTTTTTTTAGAACCAATGATGTTATTTAATATGAGACGATCTTTTATGGAAAAATGAATTATAGAAAATGGTAGATTTATCGAACACTTACTTTGACAAAAAGTTTAATGTTATTTAGTTCAACTATTTCTTAATTTGGTTTGTGATATTTTTGATTATGACTTTGATTAAAACTTAAACTGTTTGATGTAAAATCCTATTATTCCATTTTTTTGTCAAATCCTATTATTAATTATTCTGCTGATATATTTAATTTATTTAATATTTTGTTAACTTTATAAAGTATTTAATTTCAAAATTTAGAAATATTGATGCCTTTGTTTATTTTTCCTTCGTTTTCTGGAGTAATTGCGTTAAATAAAAAATTTTTCAAATGATTTATAAAATGCGATTATCTCGAAAACTGTTAAGTTTTGAATTATTAACAAATAAACCTTTTTTTTTTTTGTTAAAGTAATATTTTTTTAATATTTTTCTATCGGTATAATAAATATCGGTAACTTGAAGAGCAAAAAAGTTAACTGCAAATTTATGTCACACATGTGGCATATGTGACGCCCTCTATCAGCTGTATACAAAGCTGTGTACAAACGTAAAAATTATAGCGAAAAACAAAATTTTAAATTTTCACTTTAACACCCGTATCTTTCTTAATACCAACATTTTATTAAAGCAATTTGGCTTAAATCGTAATATTTTAAAGTGTAGAATCTACTGTTTCCTTTTGTACAATTACTTAAGGAACACCCTGTATATAAAGATATGGTCCAGAAAATATGTTTTGTTAAAGTAAGCCCTTATATAGGCTACTAATTTTTGTTGCATTAGATGTGCTGATCTCTTATTTGAAATTGTTGTTTTTTAGTACTAAGTTAATAATACGTATTGAATGAAGATCGAGCTGTAAACTCGAGTTTACAGCTGTAGATTTCGTTGCAGTTAAACCATTATTACGAACAAATGTAAATGTATATGTACCTCTTTGACCGTTTTAAAATATGTCTCCACTGTCACCTATTCTGATAACCTTATGATTATTCTACACGAGAAAACCATTCCAATCTTCTTGCTGGAAATGATACATTTTTAGTAATTATTTGTTAAATTAAATTAAATGTTTATAGCTCGTTTATCTGGGATAACCCAACTGACATTACTTCCATATATAACGATTTGTTCATCGCTACTTGATTCAGTCGATCGTGTGAGAAAGTAGAAGTCAGAGGTGTTAGATAGCAATAATTATGTGAGTACCTCTATATTAGTAATTGTTAATAGCTTCTGGTAGCGACAAATATAAGTTATGAAAAAATTCAAGGTTTTGGTAATCTAAAAATAAATATCTTTTTTTGGCTTTTAAAATAACACGATATTTGTTTATTTTTCGATTTTTTCTGTATGCTAATTTATTGTATGATAATTATTAAAAAATTAACAGCTTTCAAAATTTACATTTAAACTAAAATATTGAAAATATTTAAAAAAATAAATATGAAATAAATTGTCATCTTAAAATAATATGCAATGTATTATCTGATTTAATAGTCTCAACATCCATCTTTCTGCATAGCATTTAAGTTCTTTCTTGTAGGGTTTTGTCATGATCATCGACTATGAAACTGGCGGTCTTCCTTTTATACTTTACCTTGCACTTTGTACTTTGACATTGTTTTCCATATTTTTCGTTAGGTTAACCGTGAAGGTGATTGTCTGTTAAAATAGGTAGAATACACTGATTCAAATTTTTGATTCATAATAGGTACTGAAAAAATGTAGTCAAGTCCTTACACAAACTGCAAAACCTGAGAGGTTTCTTTATTTTATTTGTTGAATCTTATTTTTAACAATTTAAAAGGTTTTAGTGTAATTTAGTGTTTTCGTGTACTTTTTATTTACAGTTTCATCGAAAAGAAAGAACTAATCTTCTTTCTTTCCTGTTATTTTGTAGAACTGTGGCATGACAATGCATATTTCCATATATATTCCTTATAATTCATATAGTTAATATGTTTATAATTCCTTTATTTAGTTACATTTTTATCAACCAAGGTTGACTAGAATTTCAGTGATTTCCACAGTTACCCATGTTTTTCTGCAGTTATTTTCTTTAATTTTCCAGAAACCTGATATCATTTTGTTTATCATTAAGCTGAAGGAGATTAAATAAATTAAATATGTTGTTATGTTAAGTAAAAGACTTTTGATTGCATAACAAATTATAAACAAACATAAGTTACAATCGTTTTGATAGTGAAAGAGCATAGTGAAGAAGATTATGTTACAAGGTCGCTGATCGAGAGTGACTGCCAAATAACCATGGGCTTACATTCAGCAGGCGAGAGAATCATTTTAAAATCAAAAGAAATTTTAACATGTGATACGAAAGTTCGACTCCGTATGAGCATGTGTTTGTTCTAGGGTATTAGACATGTACTTTACTAATATAAAAAGGTCAGAGATACCAAGAAGTAGGTAGTTAACCAAATGACTAATCAAATTAAAATCATAAGCGGAATCAAACGTAGAAAATTTAAATATTTTGCTATGCTATAAACTATATATACACTATATATTCCCCCTAGAAGTTAAAGAGATTTGGAGATAGAATACATCCTTGAAGGACTTCCCTACTGACTTCAATTTTCCGTTGGACGATTTTAAATTCTTATTTTGGTTTCATTATTCTGTCTATACTCTTTACCAAAGCTTAGAGATGATCATGAACTCACATCTCGTGTAGATTTTCCAAAAAAACTTTTCAGTTTAAATAGTGAAATACCTTCTGGTAATTCAGATTGCAGAATATTATACGAATTTTAAATTCTCGAGCTGTTTCAATGAGCTGTCGCATATTCAAAATTTGCTTCCTACTGCCCTTACCTGAATAATATATATTACATACAAACTTTTGAATTCACTATTTATATGTCCACATTAAGGGAATTCTTCTAGAAACAGTTTAAACTAACATTTTTAATTTCAATATGTAGAAACTATTTATCTGGACACTGTTTCGAAACTTTAAAAACTAAAGTGTGAATCCAAAACATTATCATAATTATATTCTATCATGAGCCAATTTAAGTTAACAAACTGACTAGAACAATTACCAGCACTATGTCCAAAACATCATATGATTGATTCAATTTTGAAATATACTTATAACTTTAACAATTTTATGCTTTATTTATTACACAGCAATTTTGATTTTTTTTTGTAATTTACCCAATGATTTTTTAATAAATGTATCATAACAAATATCATTATAATTGCTTGCTATATCTTAGTAATTATTTTGTAATGGTATTTAAAGTTTGGATTGATATTTGTTGTATTTAAAACATATTAAAACTGATGGATATTTGTAGGTTAATTAATTAATAATAACTTTTAACGCTTTTAAACACAAAAGATGATAAACATTATTAAACACTTAATAACCACGGAATATCAAGAAAATATTTTATAATAAAATATTCAAAATTTGGTGCTGCCTTATGCGTTCATTGCTCACTGTCTATTCTTAATTTCTTAATGATTTGTTTAAAACTAATAAAAAATAAATAATATAGATTTCTATTGCATTTAAGTAAAAAGTAACACATTTTTTTTCTTCAATATGATAGGTATTAAAAGATTAAAGCGTATGGTTGTAGATTTGCAACATGTATTGATTAAACAATGTTTTTATCAAATTATGTGAAATTTTTAAGATATCTGTTTATTCTGTTGAAAAGTACAATTTGAATTTTTTATGAAAAATATAAAGAAAATCTAGTACTAATTAGATATTAGATATTATATATTAGATAAACTCTTTATCATAGTCTATAATAAATATGATCTACTTATACACCAGTACAAATGATAGGATGAGTTGTTCCTCTTGTTCTTTTTATAGAAAGTATTTTTGTTGCATTGAAAGGCCAACGTTTTTTTCTTCTTGTCTAGAATTCGCCTATTCTCCACCAGTGGCCAAACAACTAACTGACTTATTGCATATCTTTCATTAATTATTATACAAGTCCTAATTGGTACCACGTACCGTCAGGCAATATAGTCCTACAAAGTTTGACAGCTATCTGAACCATGGCTTAGGTAATACTTTTTCCCTTATACCATGTATTCCCTGGACAGGATGGTGTTTCACGGCGGTATTAAGAAGCATCAGCACTCGCAGCACAAATCTAACTGTTTGATGTGTAAGTTGTGGTGGGGCTTTTAATTGATTTTTCGAATAAACACGGTGAAATTATGCATGTGTTTACTTACTTGCTTACACCACAGCGTTACAACCCTTCATAGGTTTTTGCTGACTTGACCACATGCCTTCATTTCTCTCTATTTTGAGCAATCTCCATTACCTCCTGCTTTAAGATCTCCAGTTATATTATTTGGCACCGAAGTCGAGGTCGTTCAATTGGTATTCTTCCAGTTAAGCTTCTTCCCATATAAGTCTTACTATTTTTTCGTCAGAATGTCTTCTGAGATGTCCCGCTACTGGAGCCTTCTGGACTTTATTTCTTTGATTATGGTAGAGTCTGAATAAAGTTCTTCGAGCTCTTTGTTAGAGCTTCTTATCACATATTGCCTGCTGCTCCATCAGACTCAAAGATCTTCCGTAGGCTTTTTTTTCCCAAACACGTGGTCGCTCTTAGTTTGCCTTTGTTATAGTCTATGTTTCGATAGTATACATCACTACTAATCGTAAGACTGTTTAATATAGTTGTCTTCCTTATTAGTTGTTTCGATTTTATAAGTTTTTAGAGGGCATAAAGACAACTGTTTGCGGGCTTGTATTCTTTTGTTTATGTTGGTCTGATCCGTTATTATCTTTAATTATTGTTGTTCCAAGATACTTAAATTCTTTGACGCGCTCAAAGTTCAAGTCAAAGTTAAAGTCATCGACGGTGTTATGTCCGCTTTTATGTCTGTTTTAGTTATTGCGGCTCATAGCTACAGGTATATTTAGTTAATTTTGATTGCATCGCATTTTATTTTCATTCTCTGCTTCCATTTTGACCCTGACGAAAATCTTAATCATCTTTAATCTGGTGTTTTCTATTAGACCGATATCATCTGCAAATGCCAAGAGCAGGTTTGGTCCATCTCAATGGAATAATGTAGTTGCTTTCTCCATTATTGCACATATTATTATCTGTTCCAGAGCTAAATTGAAGAGGTATGGTAAAAGTGCATGTCCCTGTTTTAGTTCATTGTTTATTCGGAGGCTGTATTATTCAGAGGCTACAGAAAGAGAGGTAATTTTGTATTTGAGTGCGCGGGAGCAAGAGTGATGCCTAAAAGTACGTCAAGTATCTGGAAGTTACTCTCCACGAGGCTGGGAGTTGGAGGAAAATTTTAGGGGGTCGACCCTATCAGGGATAGAGACAATCAAAGATAATTCTTAATATCGTTCGACGAAACTCCTAAAGTAGAAGTCGCTAATCCTGAACCTTCTAAATTATTATCTGAATCAATTGCTCTCAGGTCATGTCTGCTTCCTCAGCTACGTATTCAGCTTTAGGAAGTCTCCATCCGATCAGTGCCTTTACTGTAGTCTCTCGGATGTTGTGACACATACGATGTTAGGGTTGTGAGCGTTTTGCGGATGAAAGAGAGAAGTTTGAAAGAGAGTGTAACTCTAATTATGTGAGAGAAATGGTGGACAAAATAATTAAAGATAAGTGTTGTTGGACACGGATCCAAAAATTTATCAGGGAGCTGCTCTCTTTGAAAAAACGAGAGGAGAGGGAACTCGCAACAGAATTTTAAAACGAGCGAGTAGCACCTCGGTGAGGTTCAGACTGTTGTAGGAGAAATAGGAGCAAATGATAGACATACGACGAGAGAGAAATGGCAGCCTCGCTAAGGCAGTGGGTTAAAAGTCTTTGGTGATTCGTGCGAGTGTTGTTTTTCCCGATGAATGTGTGGAAGAGAGAATGGGAATTAGGTGATAGTAAGGCATCAGGAGAGATGTTTTGCCTTAACCAGCCTTTCCATCCAATTTCAAACATGTATTTAACATTCTTTCTCATGGTCAATATTTTATGTACAGCTATATTTGATGTTTTTTTTTTATTTATGCGGATTTAGATTGCTCCTCATATATTTTTTCAGCAATTAGTGGCTGTTGCATACTTAGTGGGCAATAAATTTACTATACAATTGTAATATTATATTTACGTCTATGATATTATTGTGTATGGTAATAAAATGTCGATGTTTTTCTTTGAAAATTCCTTT